GACCAGTGATGTCAAGCAAATCCCTCTAATCTAGAATACAGTAAAGAGGGACCCCTGCTTTTTGTAGTTTATACTGAAGCTACATCAAGAACAGGTACTTTTAGGACAGGAAATGGATGTGTTAGTAGTCTTCTGTGAATATTTACAGGGCAAAAGACCAGAGTTATAATATTATCATGCCTCTGAGGAGTACTGAAATTCTAGTGCTGCTAGGATATCCATCACTAGAGGTCTATATAAACAAAACTAGACAAATTTCTGTCAGGAATGGTCTTGGTATGAATCTGCTTTGGGTAGGGGAGAGACTAGATGAGTTCTTAACATGGCTTCCAGCCTTTTCATTTCAGATGCTATAGGTGAAGTTTTGTAAACTTTTTAACCTGCACTTGAGAAATGCTTAACCTGAACATCAGTATGAACATGCAGTTCAGCTACTGTTTATGAATCAACACTGTTTGATTTGATTATTTTATCTGTTACGATACTTGCCAAGACTACCCCGTATTCCTCTGCAGAATATTTTTGGTTGTAGATATGTGCTTGGTAAGATTCTCATGTGGCTCTTGGAGACATAACTGGAGAAAGCGGGTGACTGTTTCGGGCCAGACATAAGATTGGACATCAGAGTATTTCTGTGGTGTTTATGTTTGTTACCTGATTTCAGTATAGCCCGTAATCAGTTATTCCTCAAGTGACAGACAATATTTCAATTTTCCTCCGAGATGGCTAAGCTGTAAAAGAATCTTGTCTCAGCGCTGGCTGTCGTGCATTTGGACTTTGGCAGGCAATATCTGATTGTACTTTTGGTGGACTTTAAGGATAGCAATATGATTGATGGCTAAAAAGACACAAGAAAAATAAGGATTTCTGTCACCGACGTTCCAGTGACATTGTTGGAAGAGAGAGTGATAAATCAAGCTGCATGTGTAGAGTATGTACTTAACTTATGTTACAGTCTATAGTGCCTTTGAATAAATATTACCTGACAATTATATGACAGGGAAATTATTTTACATTTTTCCCTCTGATGGGAAGGTTGCTACTATTACTTATTATTGTAATGATAATTGTTAAACATTCCTGTTTAACATTTCTGCAGGTCTGTGTTTTTCCATCAGAGTTTACAGAGATATTCAGAACTCATTCTTTGTTCTGCCTTCTTCCCTCATCTTGCTTATTATCCTGCTCCGTAAATGACACAAATTATTTCGATTAGCGGTTGTCACCAGCTGGTGGTGTCTGTCACAAGTCCTGTGACACTCCTGAGTCTTTGACCATTCCTTCCTACTTTACTGGATGCAAAAATTTTGCTTTTGCTGACCAGATCCTGTGTAACCATCTTTGAACCTAGTTTCCCCAGGCTCGTGGAGGAGAGTCCTAGAAGCACGCCAGCACTCCTTGACTGGTGACTCAGTTTGCCACTGTTCGAGTGAGCCGGTACACCTCACTGGATGCAGTATCCCCTGGGAAACAGGAGTCTTGAAATCAGTCTTAGTGCTGGACAAGCTTTCAGTGTAAAGTAAAAGAATACAATTGTACTAAAATACAAAGCTTAAGAAACCAGCTGCTGTGCTTTGTGAAGGTGCAGGATACTAGAGCATACTTCACCACACAGCCAGACTGCTTTGGCTAGTTTCTGTCTTCTGCTGACCTGGTTGTCATGACAGTCATGCTGCCTCCCAGGACAATTCACACAGCCTCTAGATCTGTGGTCTGGATTTTAGGACTTTATCTGTATGTGGTTTTATGGTTCATGGTTTATCTTTTTTATGGTTTAGGATAAGAGCTTCTCCTTATACATTGTTTTCTCACCTATGAATGCCAAAAATTAGCAACCTTATTATTTGGCATTACTGCTATCAAACTCTTTCCTTTTTTTGTTAATTGAAATATTCCTCAAGCTTTTTAGACTGTGGTATGCATTTAATATTTTATAACATATACGTTATATACCACATTTTGCACAGAAAGGGAAACCGATGAATGTATTCATCACTGCCTCTTGACAGAAACTGTTTAATGGCAAATAGTCTGGGAGTGCAGTGTATTTGGATAAGAGGTTCATAAACATGGCTCAGTGGCTGAGGGTGAAAGAATAGGGCTATCATGGTTTTCTGTAGGCATCCATATAATAAAATAGTGTAGAATATATAGAACATTTTGCCAAGGCAAAGTTCCTGAAACACTTGTTTTCTCCAGGAAAGTGCTTCTATCTTAAATGCCTCTGCAAGAGGATTTTAGATATATCTCTGCTCAAGTTCCCTCAGAGGTCCAGCCTAGCAGCTGTACTTAAAGCACATCCGCCCAACATGTGCTGACAGACAGTTTAACATTGATCGGAGCAGCTATAACCACTTTCCCTCAAAATCATGATCTGAAGTGGTGAATTTGTTGTCATTTATATAATAATGTCATCCACAAGGACCTCCCCTCATCCCTGTTCCTGCTCTCAGGACTGATTCTGTTGATGTGGGGGCTTGATTTTGATGATAGTGTGCATAAGCTCTTCAAGGGTTATAATCAGAAAGAGAAGGAAGTTCAGGAATACACACGAAAAACTCAGACTTTACCATAATCTGGTTTTGTGAGAAGGAATATACCCTTAGGGAAACATTAAGAAATGGGGAATGGGGGAAAGGCAGACAGAACTGAATAGGCTGAAAAATTTGGAAGTTAGAAGCAATGAATGGTAATAGTAACGGTTTCTGTTGTGAACAGCATGAGTATCATCTGCTAAGAATCATTATTTTGAAACTGATTAGGAAGGCCGAAAGCTCAGAAATAAGTGATAGATCTCTCTTGAGTTCACTTCTTACGTGTCTTTAGGAAGAAGTTAAGCTTAGAAAGAAATAATCTGTTTGTTCTGCAGTGATGATTTCCCTTTTGCGCTTAGCATAGAGAGAATTAATTTCAGAAGCATGATCCTAAATGTCCATTAGTGCAGCCATAATAAACATTCGTCTGTTTATTCCTTAAGCAGCGTGTTTCCTAGAGCTATTCCTCTTGTTCCTTATTCCACACTTTCTCATGTCAATCAATTTATCAGTAACAATAATCACAAATCCCATTAGGAACTAATTACATCTAGGCAACTTCAAGCTAGTTTACCTCTTTGCTAACATTATCTCCAAGATTTTTAACTGAAGCCAACCCGGCTTGCTTCTGGCTCCTTTAATTATGGTTGCACATCTTTACAAAGTATTACGACCTAGAACTCGATGATATTCTTCTTCAGAAATAAGAAAGACCTACAAAATGGAGTAATTTATAGTTAGCTTACTTTCTCTGTCTTCAGATGCATTGAACTCTGTCTGCCACCCACTCTAAGAGCACCACCATTCTCATTTCATATCTGGTCATTTCCTGAGTGCCACAGTGAGCTCCCCAAGTGATCCTGGTTTTCTTGCTTGACTATGTGCTGTAACTGGAATTGAGAGCAGAGCCTTGCTGACAAAATGTGGACAAAGATGACATGAAGCAGACTGGAGAGTGAGTCATCATAAAGACATGGGATAAATACTTTTGAGAGCTGCTACATGAACTCACTTCTTTCCCGAGAACATGAAGGGAAGAGGGTGTAATTCTTCCAATAGAGAGTATAGAAAAACAATGGCTTGCATGGATGTGGTGCACCTTGCAAGGAAACTATGGTTTTGGACTGTACCAAAAAGAACAATCTATTTCAAATATTTTAGATAAAGTAGTTTTTATATGCTGGTACAACTGAGATCAACAATTATATCAACATGTATGTGTTGGTTCATTTCCATAATAATCCGCATAATTTTTTTTGTTTGCTATATGCATGCATCTCTTCACCAGACAGTGGTGGAAATTAAGGGGAACACTCACAACCAACAAGGAGGAGAAATAGTCTATGAAGAGATATCATACTGTAGCCTATGTTAACTTGAAGCTTGTGGAATCCAACTTGATGATTTTAAGTGTTTAATGAAAGCAGAATCATTATCACCTCTCTAGGCAGGTAGAGAACTCCTTTGGGATTTAACCACATGCATCAGGAGAAGAATAGACCTCTGTGTTTCTGGAAAGTTCACACCCACAGGGTTACGCTTTGTTTCTGCAGTCTAGATAGTTAAGAAAAAATGCTGTTCTGAAAATGAAAATTAGTGCAAATCCTAAAGCTTGATGTTTCCTGTACTCAGTTTTAAAAAGCAGCTTTGAAATGCTTGTATCTGTATTTTAAAGCTATTCATTTAAAAAAAAAATAATAAAGATTTCTGAAACCCTGTTAAAC